CAATGAGTCACGCCTCCAGCACGTAGAACGCTCTGCAAATGACGAAAAGTATAGGGAAACAGAAAGCAAAAATCCCCAAATATGCAACAAGCATCTTAAATTCATTGTCGTACCTGTCTCTGAGAGCAACAGCGCCAGGCCTTGCTTCATATGCGCCCAGAGCCGGCAGCCCAATTCCGCACTCGAAGTGCAGCACTCTGTAGCTCGCCTTTGTCGCCCAGTGGTGGTGCTAGCAATGTCTGTTCTGCAGGCCGGAGACGAGAGGAAGGACTGGGCCTGTAATTCTGCGTCTCCATGAAGAAGCGGCATTTGTGCAGTGCCTTGCAGGTTGCTTCTCAGCAGCGAAGCGATGAAGATGCCTGCGCGAGATGCAGCTGGAGATACGGGGCTCGAAGGCATCTGTGGGAGTTGGCTTCAATTCGGAGTTCACGACACGGTTTTGCACACAAGCTTGCTGTGACAAAAAGGATTCAGGAAGAGTTCTCGTGCTTTCTGTCGAGACTGTTGCAGTGTCAGGGCTGCGCCTCGGAGACCTTCCCCTAGGAAGCCTCTCCCTAGCGGCTTGGCGGCACACTGCACTTTGCTGGAGTCGTGGCTTCATGCCATCTGCACAGCAATGCGAACGAATGAAGCTTTCTGCTGACAGGTCGGCATCGCCCTGCTGGCCCTCGTGCCATTGGCACACGGGTTTCTCAAGAGGACGGGCACGTTCGCAGGAGCAACGCAAGACGCGCAAGATGTGTTTCTGGTTGTGCGATGAGCTTTGGCGTGGCGGCAGGCTGAGAAAGTCGGCCTTGGGAGATGAAGCGTCCATGTTTTCCACAGAGCCAGTAAACTCCTGAGCTCATTGCGAGCCACGGTGGTTGTGTGGTTGTCGTAGGTCATCGTAGGTCGTGATGTTTCTTGTGTTCACTCAGCGGCATGTGCATGTTTGTTGCCCGCTCGCGGTGTCAGTCCGGAGAAGATTCTGGCCAAGCCAGGCACGACACAGCAAGCGCGATGCTTACATGTGCCCGTTGCGTCTCTACGCAGATGACTGGGCAGGATACTGACCTCTGCAGTATTTTCCATTGTGTTGAGGCGACTTCCCTCGCCCCATCGCAGCCAGCAATTGCATAGTGAACTGCAAAAGACATCCATGCTTGAGGCCGATGCGAATCTAGCTGATTTGTTGGTTAGACCGATAATTCAAGCCATGCAGTTCACGATGCCTGTGGTTCATGGCCAACTGACATCGATTTCAACTGCGTTTCTGAGCTGCATCGAGCGAAAAGTGCAGCGTCCTCTAGCCGAAAGCTGCACTTTGGATCAGCGCCGGCACTGCAGCCAGGCACGGCTGCGTGATGATTGACCATCTCCTTGACGGAGATCAGCTAGGCAGCCTTCGGGACGTTGTCGTCGAGGCTTGGCGCTGATCTGTACATCAAGCGGGCTGGTGCTGATCAGCTCCTGCGTGAGGAGAGCGCCCGCCTCGACTTGGCACGCTGCCACGAAGTTCGCTTAGGGGACCTGGCAGCCAAATCGCCAGGTGCCCTTCTCGCTTATGTACTTTGGGTGAAACGTCTTGTGTCGCGAGGCTAGGTCTCAGAAACCTGAAGTTCTGCTTCTGATCTGCATAGAATTTCAGGTGCTGCTGAGCATGTGCAGTTGGTCATGCCTGCATTCTGCCGTCTCGAAAAGAGCCAACTTGATGTGTGCCAGCCTTCGCCGAGCTAGCGACGCACCCCCTGGTGATGCAGCTGGCGAGGTGGAAAGCGTTGTATGAAAGTTCCTTATACTAGACAGTGAAGTTCCAGGATCGAGGCAAGGAGGTGAAGTTATCTCAGCAGCTCCTTCGATACACAATTCTCTTTCTTTGACCGTTTAGTGGTGCAACAAGTCGAACTGATATACTAGTTACTTGCAGTAATCTTTCACCTGCATTGTTGGAGAGTTCCTGTAGTCAGACCGGCGGATTGTGCGGCGCCTTCCAGGCGGTTGCTCTCTCCAGCACTATTGCTGTCGGATATGCAGAGCTGCCTTTGCCTTATTGCGTCCATGACCTTCATGCTCTGTGTGTTTTTCATTAGTCGGCTTTGTGGCTCGTGAAAAATTTATGCTCTTCACAGGTCGTACGGACGTGGACTACGTGCGTAAGGAGTTGGAGGCCTTGTGGTTGGATTTTGGGAGCGCTATGAGCTCCCCAAGTATTCACACAGGCACAGAGACATTTTCTGATGCAGAGGAGACCACCTGGCACGTCGTGCATCCTTACAGCAGTGCCGAGTTTCCTGGCGTCGTGCTCCCTGCCACGTTTCCAAAGGGCTTGGCAGAAACTTCGGACACAGACTGTGCATCTGTGTGGAATGGGGCAGGTTGACCCCAGGATCAACGTCACTGTCGCGGCCTGGGATCTGCGGTTTCTAGTAGGTTATGGGCGCAACGGATCCTGGTAAGACCTCTCGCTTTTGTCAGTTGCACGCATACCCATGCCGTCAGCAAGCGATAGGTGGCACGGGAATGTGCATGTCCAGGTGACTTGGTTCCTAGACCAACTTGACACAGAGAACTCTACGTGGGCTTTCGTGAAGGTGCCGTCTGGGATCACTGCTCGTTGCACCACATGGGCACTTGTGCACTGATGGCACATCTTGGCACCTTTTGCCGGTCTCAGCTCGGCCTTTGGAGCAGAAACGTCTGCTGGCTTTGCTCGGCCTGATGGGGTGCAACACAAAGACGAACTAGAGCCCAGAGATCCGCAGGGTCTACCCCTCTGGCCATGCTGCGATCCGGAAGACGGAAAGACGGAGCTGTTGCCACATCTTGTTCAACAGGGGATCTTGTCAACTATCAATATTAAACGCTTGTCACAGTGGCGAAGCTCGCAGTTAAACCATAAACCCAACGAAGAAAAGGACAACGGAGAAACGCCAAGTCTTCTTGTCAGCTTTTAGTCAGAATCTGTTCAACGGCCCGCTCCGACCTTGGCACAGTTTTCCGCGTGTCAACTGGAAAGATGCCAGCCGCTCGTCGCCCCTGGAGAGGCGCCGCTTGGGGATGGCGGACACTTGCCGCAGCTGCCACACCTCAGCTCCCAGGAAGAGCTGCAGGCCTTGCAGAGACAGGCTTAGAATGACTTAGAATTAGTGTTGGGTTACAGCAGTCAGGCTTCGTGAGTGGCAATGCCTTGGATTTGGGATTGTGGCACTTCTGTAACGTCCAACAGAAGAATTTGCTTGGAACCAGCTGAGATCCGGGGTTCTGCTTTGTCTGCCACACGGGAGCCTCCTGTTTGAGCGAAAGAGCGACGACTAGGCTGTTGCACGTGGTGCGCAGCCGCTGCTGGCGAAGCCCGGCGCGGCATGGCCCCGGCCTCAGCGATGGGCACTGGTTGCGGTTGAGCCATGTTAAGCCTGCCGCGTGGAAGTCCGCTTGTCGTTCTCGAGGTTGTGCATTGGCCCATACTGGATGTCAAACAACGTCGGTGCAGCCTCCTTCTGGAAGGACAGTTGTGCACTGACTCCTCTTGATGTACCCTGTACTTCTGCGGATGAGTCAAGGGAACTATGAGTTTAATTGGGACTATGCAATTAACAGATGACAGCACCATCAATCCGTTGTTTGGTCCCGTTTTATGCGGATACTCTCCGTGCAGAGGGCTTGGAACTGCTGTTAGATACTGGCCAGAAAGCACGGCAAGAATCAGCATCAGGACTATGATGCGCAGACGCGCTACAAGCACCTCAGCGGACAGAAGGTGCACGTGTGTTACAGCGGTATTTCGATGCCTGACCGATGACACTGCCCAGCTTGTGTCAGGCAATGAGGCCAATGTTTGCACATTCAGCCATGCATGGATCCACCTTTTGAATTCCTTTGCACCATATTGAGTGTGACAACTTCAATTGGTTGCATTCAGTGCCCAGAATTCGGCAGGAGCAATCCTTCCGGGCGCTGACGGATGCGCAGCGGGCTGCTCAGCCAAGGGCGTGGAACCCAGCGGGGGTGCAGACAACAAAGGTACCTTCCAGCTGCACAGTGCGGCAAACCCTGTCCAAACCTGGCATGCCGGCTGATCACATAAGTCCTCACAGCCGCAAGTCATGTGCTGAGGAGGAGCTTTGCCCGACGGTTCTCCAGGTCCACACATACTTCCGTTGCTGCTGAAGGGACCGCCGGTTGCAACTGTCGAAACTCGAGCAGCTCTGTACGGGTCTGGGGATGCACTGGATACTTCCTCAGTCGCCAACGCTGCTTCGAGGACAGGTGTTGTGAAAGGACGAGGCGGACGCAACAAACGAGCAGATGTCGTGCCGGAGATATACTTCTACATTGTAACGTCCAGCACCGCTTGGATGACACCTAGTTTTAGCACAAGGGTTCTAAACGCTTTTACTCAAGCACAACCAAAGTGTCACCAAACAGAGAGCAACATCGATGCACATGCTCACATTCGATCCTTGCCAGGTTGTAACATGTGGCATGTCCGAGACATCTGTGTGGCCCAATCGATAAACGAGTATGGTGACGAAGGATCGGTGCTCCAAGACAGGCAGCCGAATTTCAATTCTTGGCCACCAGGTTCCCGTGCAATGCAACTGGCCAGGCCACCTACGTCCGCGAGCATGTGGTCACGCCGATGCCGCCAGCACACGAGGCCAGCGGTGTGCCGGCAGCTGATGGCCCAAGCTCTGAACAGCGGTGCCGTTTGCTACGCACGGCCGGCAGGCTCTGGCGCAGCTCGGCGACGCGGGGAGGCAAGAGAAGAGAGCTGATAGGACCGCGCAGACTCGAGTTGACAGGGTGATTTTCCGATTCGTGCAAAACCTTGCAACGGAGAAGCAAGTGATGATTCATGTGGACAGGCAGCTTGCGAGCTTGTTCCGGGCGGCCTGAGGCGTTTTGCAAGGGTATGCCTGGACTTGCCCGCTTGCGAGCGACCTTCCTTGAGCTTAGGTGGGTTTGCCTGTGCCAAATCCGTTTCACCCCTCGAAATACCAGCAATGCAACAAGCGCTGCTGACCAGTTTAGAGGCGCATGGAAATCCAAGCAGAAGCACTGAGTCTCGACGTTGAAGCCCCTGAAATATCCATAACCGCATGTGAAGAAGGTAACAGAGCTGTTCATGCGCATCATCGTGCCGGGAACGTGGTTTACCGGTCTTGCCGTTGTTGGAAAAAGACAGCGATCCAAACATCTTGTGTGCGTTCGGTCACGTTGGAGTTGGTGCGGACGCGTGACTAGTGTTTCAGGAGACTAAGTGCAACCATTGATACTGTGTAGCATATCATATCATGCTTCAGGCCATGCTTCATGAGACACAGTTCCGAAACCGTTAGGCCTTGACAGTGTGAGCACGTGCTGTTGTGACCCACGGCCCCTTTTTGAGGCCTTGACCCAGTTGTGTCATTTGCAGGAAGCATGTTCTGCTTGCCGCTCCGACTTCGTTTGTTCGTCCGCCTTTTCAAAGACACGCCAGCACATGAAGGCTGGACAGGTAACTTCACAAAGGGTAGCCCCAACCATCACGCAACAAGATAACCTACTCACAAGCTCCCAAAAAAGACACAGTACAAAAACTGGAGCAGTTTGGGCACCCCGCAAGCACTTGTAAAAAAGGAGGCGGTCGATTCCAAGAAGGGGTCCTGGATGTAGTTCCCGGACCCGCCACAACATTCCTTACCTTGAGACCGGTGGGCCGTGGAGGTGAGTTCCGCACCTGACTGTTGCAAAGGAAGGGAGGAATGCTGGTCCTCGCTCCTGGCTCTTGAAGCGAGAAGTCACTATGCCAAACCACATCCTGTTCCCTCGAGCAAAAAAAGCTACAGCCACGGAATTTCCCAGGGCTCAAGAAGAGCATCAGAACACGGCCGGATCGGTGAAGAGGGCCTACTTCCCATGTTCCCCTTTGCTCCAGGGGGTTCAACGCCGCCCGTCATAGCTGAAAGGGTGACGGCTGCCATCAAATCTGTCTCAGCAGATATAGAGCGACCTGAGAGGCGTGTAAGAGGGCGTTCACGGGTGTGCGTGGAAGGGTGGAAGATGTAGATTAATGCACTGCAGTTGCTCGTGCGTGTGGGAGCCGACGGTCGTCTCAAGTGCTGCAATCCGTAGTCTTACCAGGATGCCGTGAGCATCCCTTTTGAATAGTGCCGCTCTGTTTCTGTACACGGCTCGCCCCGGATCTGCAGTTCAAAAAGGCAGCAGCATATTGTCACAACAGGGAACCACCGACCCGAAAACCCTCAACACTTCCTTGGGACTCCTGGTAGGCAGTCGCAGCCATGGCGCTGGCAGTGATGGGCGCCAGCAGCAAGGCAAGGGCACACCTGCAGCAGTCAGCACGGATCCCTGACGTGGAGTACACGGTCAAAGCTTGCGCATGGTGCCATGCTCATGTTTTCGGAACAGCACGTCAACGTGTGCTGCCAGGGCTCAGTCCTGTGAAAATTTGGCAGTCAGGACACGCTGCCAGCAGACCGCTGTATGCACTTGCATGTTGCATCAAGCCCAGGAGTCTGAGTTCGATAACGTGGGTATAGCCAGCGAGCGTGAATCACAGCGCCACATGCAAATGACAGAAACTTGCTTGCAACTCACTGTCGGATTGTTGAGCACAAGCCGCTGCAAAGGACATCGCTCACGCACACACAGAGCAAAACAAAGATAGGCAAATCAGCCACGGCCCTTCATGTTTATTGCATGATGGGGTTTCATGGGTAGGCCGGTAGGCCTCCTCAACTACAAAGCCAGACAAGCCAGCAAGCCGGGACACTCGTCTCCGAGTGCAGTGAGGTACAGTAGGCCCAGACAGCCAGGGAACAACTCACTCTCCTTCCATCAGCCCCACTGCAGGCTCCGGCGAGCTCAGGAGCCTCGAAGGCGCGCAAAAAAGCGAAGGGACAAAAACGGTGAAGCGTTTGGAGTTGTCGTCGCAAGTCAGGTCACCAAGGCTCCGAAGATGGACAGCAAGAAGGCCTTCGAGATTCCAGGCTCGACGGCCCGGATTTGTGACCGGCCCGCTGTAGTGCACGACGCAGTTTGAAGACCAAGGCTGCAGCAGAAGGTTGATTCACTGATCATCACTGATCCAACACCTGGGGATGGGAAGGCACATCTTCTTGACCCTCGCGCAGGCCTCCAGGCCCGGCCTTACCACGACGACGAGCTGCAGGCACTCACAGGGCACTTGTGCTTAAGACATCTGAAGCCGAGCGGATTCAGGTTGCCTTCGAGATCATCGACCTTGACCGACATGGCGAGATTGGTTCCGCTGATATCCGGAGAGCGCTGCAGCTCCTCGTCCGATGTCCCGGTGGTGGTGTCAAAGGCAAACATAGGACACAGGCATTCAAAGCAGTGCCGCTCCTTCGGACCCTTGCCGAGGCTTTGTGGGGAGAGCGAGCCCACAGATGCGGAAATCCAGGTGCGGGAACCACAGAACAAAGCGGTGCCAGCTGCGATGTTAGAGAAACAGGAGATGATCCGCTTGATGGATCCGGCCCCTTTGACTGCATGTGCTGAGCACAGACGGGTCTCTTTGAGGAACTCCGAAAGCCGAGGATGGTAGTGGCTCCATCGAATTCCCGGAGTTCCGGCGTTACTTTTTTGACCCGCCTCCGCTGTTCGGCAGAAAAAGCAAAGGTTTCTCTTAAAGGCCCCGCCTTTCCTCTTTCCCAAAGCGCAGCCCAGGCTATTTCGAAACTTCGACCTCCACCGGCGCGGTGGGGGCGAACGGGACCTTGAGGAGTTTACTTGGGTCTTTGGGGAAGCTATTGGCTAGATGTCTCTGTGGAAGGAGGAAGTGGGAGAAGGTGAGCCGCTGCCTGCGCTGGAGGCGGGCGGTGTAAGCATCCTTGAAGATATCATCAAGCCCTCGGGCAAAGCATTTTGAGAAGTCAGGACATCTCCGGAGGGGACGAGACACCAGAGGGCGTGCAGCGATCGGACAGGAAGAAGAAGTTCACCATCAAGGCATCACTCTTCGAGATACATGCGTAGTCGGAGCAGGTTACCTGCCTTAGATGTTCCATGAGTTCCCTTCTTGGGAGGCCGCCGAGGAGACTGGCGACCCGCGCTTCAAGCACATCAAAAGCCTCATCAAGGGTGGAATCACACCGGACTCTAGGCATTGAACGTAGATCCGGGATCTGCATTCGCTTGTTGTTGATGAAGCGAGTTCGATCTGTGACCACTTCATGCACGGAAGACTCAGGACATCATCCGCCACATCTACCAGAGCTTTGTGGAGCTTGACGACAGCGACTCTGGCTACATGTCATTCCAGGCGCTCTTGCCCTCGGCCGCACTGCTTCGGAAGCTCATGCGCTGTAACAAGCCCCGCAGGCTTTCTGCAAAGTCTTTGGGAAGGTGGGAGCTCCTTCATTTTGTGAAAGTTCATGTCGAGAGAGTTCCAGGAGCCCGCTGCGGACATGCGGGAGATCTTCGATGCCTTCGATGCCGAGCACGAGGGAGAGCTGGTACCCCAGGCAAAGAGTCGCGGCCGAATCTGCAAGGATGTCGGGCAGAGCGTGATTTGGGTCCCAGCTCTGCAAGGCTCGACCTCCGACAGTTTGTGATCGGACTCTCCACGTGCGCCCCCCCCTTGGATCCTCACCTTCTCGCAAGCAGAGCATGGAGCTGCAGTGCACTCGGACAGTGGCACAGCCAGTGGAACTTTCAATACGCCGCTGGCCAGTGAGCATCGGCTTGTGGTTGCTTCTCTCTGGACTTCAGCAAGGTAGTCGCAGGCAAGCGCCACACCCCAAGCCCTTAAAGGAGCAGGGTCAGACGCAGAGGAGATGTTGTAGGGTGACAGTTGATGGCGTTCCTATCCCGCTGCCATGGAGCTGCAGGGGCAGCAGGCAGCATGGACCTCGGCTGACTCCAAGTAAGCTGCAAGATGCTGCAAGCATGAGGTGCTTTGCAGAGCTTCCAAGGTCACAAGGGGACGGCACCATCCGAACTTTCGCCCGCTCCGCAGGCTGAGAAAGATGCACCATGAGGATTTTCTCGAATCGCAAGCACGGGCAGGTCGAAGCAGCGATGCAATCCAACTGTTGATCTGACCGTCTCGGAGCCCAGTGCTGCACAGATGCAAGAGCTCGTCAGATGGCTTTTGCTTTGTGACCTCGAAGCTGGTGTACAGTACAGTACTCGTTGTAGGCTGGTAGGCTGCATCTTCTAGGCATGGGTCGGCCCTTCGAACGTGGCAGCTTCGCCGAGGTCAAAAGAGAAAACTCCAGGGCTTCTGCTCTCGTACGTGGCAGCATGTGGAAGGCGGCCCTTGGAACGCTGGCAGATTTCTTCAGGACTGCTGCGGTTTGCAGTACAGTAGCTCTGGCTTTCAGTTGTCACTGCAGATCCGCAGGAACGCGATGCAGCCGGATGTCTTCACCTGTAATGCCCTAGTAAGCACATGCGCACCACTCGCTTGGTGGCTACTTGGATGCATGACATAAGGTATTCGGTCTACTTCGCAGGGCGCATTTGCACTTTCAAGAGACATTCCTCACAGATTTGCATCCTGAGGGCTGTCTTATGGGCCAGAGATGGCCAGAGGTTGCTAAACAATAGTTCAGTTCGCACGTGAGGGACGGCAGACATGTGGTGTAAGATTCAATCTTACAGCGAAAGGTCGGAATGTGGCATGAGTGGTCACGAAGGCAGTGTTCCGAGAGGTCGCATCAAACAAGAACAGGCGCAAGAAGCTGTATTCTGAAGTATGCTGACTCGTATTACCTAGGCAGCTCGGCATCCATGCCCTGCGTCAGATGTGCTGCTTCGGTGTGCAACATTTTGAATCGAGCATCCAGACTCCAGAATCGTGGGTTTTGCAAGGCCTACGTGGTTTGACTCTGAGATTCATCTGGTTCAGATCCCATCGCAAGTTTCACTCAGGCTTTAGGACGCTGGAGGCCAGTCTCGTTTCCTTCAACTCGGTGCTGGCTCTTTGTCGAGGCGAGAAAGTTGGGGGCCTGGGTAGCTACCTTCAAGCGGGAGTACTTACTATGCAAAGTCACAGGATGTTTCTAATTCCGGCGACAGGGTCGAGGGGATGCATTGGGTGGGAAGGCAGTATGCTCCTATGCTGCCTATGCTCAATGTCAATGTCTGCCAGAGGCAAAGGACAAGCTTGGCGCCGTGGAAGGGCCTTCCTGGCGCACCTTGCGAGCAGTGGCATGTCTCCAGCCCCTTGGCTGCAAGGAGCAACATAGTCTTCAGCTTCTTGTCCTCTTTGAGCCTTTTTTGTGTTCCAAGATGTTCCAAGGATGCAGTCACCACGGCCTCCGGCGTTGCCGTTGCAAATTACTGGGAGCAAGCCTTCGCCTGGATCTGTCACACGGTGCATCGCTTACAGGAGCTGTCGTAGCCGTCTCAAGAGGAGCGCCCAAGAGCTAGGCTTCGCGCGGCCAGGTGCCGCTGCACGTGCGAGCCAATATCATCGTTCACAATTCTGCCATCGGCAGCTGCTCTTCGACGGCGCAGTGGCGACAGACGCTTTCCCTCCAGAAGCGACTGCGAGATCGAGGCAGCGCTCGGTTTATGCTCTCTCGGGATTGTGAAGTATAAGTGCTTTTTGCTCAGCCGAGCAGGAAACCAGCCAGATCCGGTCACCGCCAACCTGCTGCTCTCTTCATGTGGTAAAATGAGTCGATGGGGTACAGCGCTCCGGGTGACATCCCAAATTGCATTCAGCCAAATCAGGGTACCTAGTCGCCTCAAGCATTTTATTGCTTTTCGCATAGTACATGTTCATAGCATGAAGACCCTGCTGCCTGCAGTCTGGAATTCACGCCGAGGTTAGCATCCAAGCCTGTAATTCGATTCTCAGTGCATGTGGGAGAGGTGGTCACTGGTGGCAGTGCGTTGCAGTGCTGGCTGACATGGCAAGGACCCTCTTGTCCCCTGACATTGTCACATACAATTCCCTGATGACCACGTGCCAGAGCACGCCGCAATGGATGGTGGCACATCAGATTTTCCATGACACCCAGTATCACGGCCTACAGGCAGATCGCATCGCCTTCAATTCACTGCTTGCAGCATGCGGGAGCAGCCAGCAGTGGGAGGCGGCATCGTCCATAGTCGTTGACTCGGGCATCCTTCCACCGAGTGTGGACACAGTCTGCATGGCCATGAAGGTATATGGCGACGTTGGGCGCTGGCAGTCTGCCTGCCGTCTGTTCTACGCTCTTCAAGAGAAGCGGGTGGAGTCTCGCAAGCAGCAAGCATGTTAACATTGGCACCAGTTGCAAGAGGCACGTCGCATCCTGCCACATCTTCCTGAGCACGGCGCGCAGGGAGTTGCCTGAACTCTCTAAGTTGCGACCCAGCTGAGGAGGCCAACACCATCACCTACAACTCCGCGATCGACTGCGCTCTAGGCATGGCTTGGAAGAGGGCTCTTGCTAGGGCCCCAAGTGTGCTGGCAGATCGCACCTGCTACCATTACTAGACCATGACATTCCGGCGTCAGTGTTGCAAGGTGATCTTTGGTGATCTTGTGGCCGCAGGTTTGCTGCTCTGCAGCACCGTATCTTCTCGCTTGGCAGCAGGGTCATGGAAAGGGCCCACTTTATTGTTTTGCAGGTTTCTTTACTCTGGAACCTACTGCAAGCTTAGTCGAATGAGGATGAGAGGGTTTGTTCCTTTGTGGTGCATTGCAGCCCCTATGCTGCCCATCTCCAACACTTGCTACATCCGAGGCAGACCAGTGTGGTTTCGATCACCTGCGCCGTCACGGTGCTCGGGGAAGTGAGGGCACTGGGATACCAAGTCAGTGCTAAAACTATCGCATCTTCCGCAAAGCCCCAATCATCATCAATGCCAGGGCATTGGCGCTCACCAGTGGCAGGCATTGTCTTGTCCTGTTTTTGCTGGTTGTGAGGGGAGGTAGAACTGGGATCAATATTTGCCGCAGTGGAGTGTGACGGTGAGCTGCCCACCTGTGTGAGTCTGCGAGGCAGCGGCTCAGATCACCGATGCATCTGCTGCGCTTTGCCTGCAAGATGTGCGTATCGGCGTCTGACTGTGATTGAATTGATTGGATTTGTTTGAACAGTGGGAAAGAAGCAAGTTTGACGGCAGGTCGCGCCATGCAATGCACTCATTGCAGCCTCTGGGAACCTTGCGCAGTGGCAGAGTTGCCTCACCAGCGTGCAGGTGAACATGCCTCGGGAGTGGTAATGGGAATGAATTTGTCGAACCGACATTCTTGCCTTGGAATTTTCGATGATCTCCCTGAGTTTCTGACGAGAGGTCCGCTAGCCCATGGACTTCGTCACAATCCCTACAGCACATGTCCCTGAGCTGCAGGAGCTCCTGTCGAAGACAATTCGAATCAATGCACCTGCGCGGCAACATAGTGCCACCTTGCTGTCAGCCTTTCGTGTCAGAGTGGGTCGCTCGGTCGACCGTCAAAATCAACTAAATCAAACAGGAACATTCATCCAAGTTGTATACCTGACATGCGAAAGTCTGACTCAAGCGGACACGTAAAGTTCACAGTAAGGAAGCCGAGGCCAACATGCAGGGCTACTCAAGGTGACGTTTATGTTTGCTTTCTGGTACGCGCTCACAGCTGCACGTCATGAAATCGTCACACCTGGCGAAGCCATTGTGGACCTGCAGGATCCTTACTCGCCATATATGTCAGGAAACTGCAAGGATCAAGACAAGAGTTATTGCAGTTTCCGGCAAGTGTTTGCAATTCCCAAGGCAATTACCATCAACTCATCCATCACTGCTTGCGGGAAAGCGGAGAAATGGCAGCAGGCGTGCATCTCCTGCGCACAGCGAGTTCCGGTAACTTCATGCAGAGTTGGCCAATGCCTTCCCTGTCAGACCTTGCAGATTCTTGCAGACTCCGACGACACTCTTGCAGCTCCTTCGTTGCATGGCCGGGCTGCTTCTGTCAGTGGCCTTTTCCGGTCTGCGGCCACTTGAAGATGCAATGTACTAATACTTGTGGCAGCAAAGCTCGTGTCGTTCGCGGCTGTGGGAAGTTCCAAAATCTTCTCAGGACCTTATCACTTTCAACGCCATTCTGGATGCTTGCTCCGGCAACGTGCCTCGGCGCAAAACTGGACACGCGGGGTCACACATGCCTGTGGCTGTTTCCTGGTTAACGTGTGTGTGGCTTGTGCTTGTCCACTGCTTCTCATGCTTTGCTTTGTCCTGGACTGCACACTCAGAGTGATGCTAGGCAAAGTCTGAGCCGTACACTCGCATGTGCGTCTCTTTCTGGCTTCCTATCGGATGGTTGTTATGCGACGGTGCTCATGCATGACATTCGCTATGAAGGGCCCTTGCACAGCGTCTGCGACCCTTGAGCTTTCGGGTCGGACCGGAGGGCAGCAGCGCAACATGGGCTCCACCGCCACCACTCACACCACGGCCAGCACACACGAAGATGAAGACCGAGTGCTGGCACCAACAAAACTCTGAAGCGATGGGTGGTGACAGGCCAAGCCTGCACGCGAAGAGGTGGCCAGCAAAAATGCAGCATTGCAGAATTACGAAACGTGTTGAGCTTACACGGCTCTTATTGGCTTATCGTGGGTGCACGTGATTGTTTTTGAAACCGCAGC